GTTGAATAATCTGAATTCTGTGACACATAGAAAATGAAGTTTGAAGTGCTTACTTTATTAGACTATAACTCTAAGAATGCTCTCACTATCTTGGCCACTGGTCATGCTGGCTGGAAAATTCTTAGAACTGTCCAAAAAAAGAAAGAAAAGCATTTTCCAAGCTCTGATTAGAAAACAAAAATACCCTGACATTCATTGGCACCCACTTATAACAATTCTGTTTGAAAGTTAAATGGATCACTGAGAAATACTACAGTTTGTTCTCACACTGTGCAGCCAGAACTGACTCAAAACATTTTTTTAAAGAAAATTCCAGTTGTATTCCCATTTTCCATTGAAGATTAAAAGAACCCCTCCCAACTGACAGTTCAGAATAAGGCTGACCCTGTTTCCAGCATATCCTAAATTTTCAATGGGATTACTGTTTTGTTGTCACAATGAGATCATAAAGGTTTCAAGAGGATTATAGTTAATAATATGTAATTGCTTAAGTTCATCTGAAGTGGAACACTGGTCAACTAACAGTATGCAGCCACACCTACAAGCAGGCCAAGTCCAGATTTTCAGAACTTTTTGAAAGAAGTTACAAGTTTCTGATTTTGTGTACATTCAGAGCTACTGCAGGTGAGATAGTGCATCTGTGTCAGTCAATTGCAGGTCAGACTCACCAAAAGACTTGGCAGAGGAGTAATACTCTTCCCTTCCCCATCCATCTGCCATCGCAAAGTATCAGCATCATTGGATTGGAGGAATCAAGTAAATCTCTCACTATAACCAGCTTTGTCTCTGTAGGCTTTGCAATAAACCAATGGATTAAAGTTTTTTAAGAGCTTTTTTATTTTTAAAACACTGGCACACATGGACTAACATACATGGAAACAATTGGAGTCAGACAATGAACCGTCATCGGTTGAGGGTTACTTCTATTTTGCTACCAACATGCTCAAGCTGGGCTTTGGAGAGGTTTTAACATATCCTCATCCAAATCATCTTCTAGAACATGTGCAGTGCATCTTTATGTATGCTTACTTGAAAGACCTATTGTATTCAATAAAGTTTATTCCAAGGTAAGTGTACCATAAAAGCACCATAAAAAGAGGAAGGAAATGTAATTCCTGTAATTCCCAGGATTGCCATCTTCTGCAATTTAATTTTAAGTCTTGAAATCATTTTTTACATTATTTAATATCTAAGGCATTTATTATCCTTTCTGGGAGACAAAGTACAGGTGACACTAAATGGATCTTTGCATCTAACTGCAGGGTGTTGTTTTTTTTGTTGTTGTTTTTAAAAAATACATATTGTACCAGATTAGGGGATAAGGTTAATAATTAATTAGAACAAGCAGAGGGAGAATAACACATTTTTCTAAGATGCTGCAGTCCCAAGGAATAAATCCTGTTATGAAACCACTATTTGCTTTGTAAGGAAATCCTCTGCTAACACCCATGTTAGTTGCCAAGATGCATTTAATGTCACATGTAGTTTGACATACAAAGCCAGGGTGGTTGTGGTTCAATAGCTTCTAATCCACCTATTAGTTTTTCAGTCTTATGCTGCCCTCTGTCACATTGTTTGACTCTTCATCAGGCTTCTTTGTTTACCACCAAAATCCTGTCCTGTGTAGATCCTTGAGTTAATCTAACTTATTTTCTATACCAGGGATGGGCAAAATATAGACTTCCAGATGTCTCTGGACTACAGTGTCCAACACCTTTGACCAACATATTGGTGAGGAATGCTGGGAGTTCCAACATCTGGAGAGCAACCCACTCCTCTTCCAAACACATTTCAATGTCTTCATCATCTGCTTTAAAGTTATGTAAATCATCTGTGGTTATTATTTTGTTTTCTTAACGTTCAACTATAAACCAGCCTTTGCACTTTCTTCCTTGGCTTTCCTCAGTAATTGTTCCAAGTCTTTGATATTTTCAGTTAGCAGTATAGTGTCATCCATGTCTCTTAAATAGTTGATGTTCCTTCCTCCAATTTTAATGCGAACTTCCTGCACATATAATCCTGTTTTATGTATATGCTCAAGTTACACAGATAGGGTGATAAAATGCAGCTTTGCCTGATCCCCTTCCCAATTGGAAACCATTCCTTTTCTCTGTATTCTGTTCTGATAGTAACCACCTTGTTCTGAGTCCATGTATACAGTCACCTCTTTGGCTGCTTGAAAATGTGTTTGTGATGAACAAACAGTTGGCCTTACAAAATTAAAGATTTTTTTTTAAAAAAATCATTTGCTTTCTTTCTTCATTTCTTGATGCTAGGCCAAATTTTCCTACAATCTTTTTTTCTGCTCTGTTTCTTACTTTTGCATTTCAGTTGCCTATGGTTAATAAGAAGTCCTGTTTTGTGATCAGTTTCGTCCCGGACTCCAGCACAGAATATTTCCATTTCTTCTTTATGCCTCTGTAGTTAGAGTTTAAACTTGGCTTATGGTTATATTGGTGGGTTTTCCCTAACATCTAGCTTCCCCTGATTCATGCTTCTCACATTCCATGTTCCTATAATTATGTGCTGTGCAGCTTTGGACTTTCCTTTCACCTCTGCATACCTCTGAATGTCCTTT